GCTCCGTGCTCCGTGCTCCGTGCTCCTGCAAGGCATCCTTGGTATTTCAGCCGCAGCTCCAGCCTGGGAAACAGTCTGCAGTGTTTGGTGGAAAGGGAAAACGTGCTCCCAGAGCCAGAGGGGAGCTGACTTATGTAGACAGAAGTCCCCACTTATTCCTCTTTTTGCTCTATATCTTTTTTTATCCCATAAGCTGATTTTTCTGCATTGATTAGGCTTTCATGACTGTTAAGTGATAGCAGTTCCTGACAATAATGGAAGAAGCGTGATTTTAAAAAATGAAATAAGTTGCATACTGGGAAACTAAAATGTATTAAATGAGAAACTATTAGAAACAGTAAGATTTTTTTTTTTAATTTATCTTTATTGTTGAAAGCATTACAGATGTCTCCCTTTTCACCCCATTGATTTCCTCCCCTCTGCAACCCTCCCCCAGGCCTTCACCACACTATTGTCTGTGTCCCTGGGTTATGCATGTATGCATATAAGTTTTTAGGTTCATCTCTCCCCACCCACCCACCCCTGCCTTCCCTCTGAGATTCATCAGGCTGTTCCATGCTTCTGTGTCTCTGGATCTATTTTGTTCATCGGTTTGTTTATTTTGTTCATTAGATTCCACATATGAGTAAGATCATGTGACACTCATCTTTTTCTGACCAGCTTATTTTGCTTAGCATAATATTCTTCAGGTCCCACCTTGCTGTCTCATAGGGTAAGGGATAGTAAAATTTTTGTAGAGTAACTAATTATGAAATAAACATTAAAAAAAAAATTATTAGTAATTTTGTCATCTAATGACCACTATTAGACAGGCATGAACAGAGTAAGGACAATGGGCCAGGTACAGAGACTCACCAGGGCAGAAAGCCCTGATGCCTAGCAAGGGACAAAACTGGGAAAACAAGAACCTTGTCCCCAGGGTAACTCTCCTCCCCAACATATCGCTGGTCATGTGGTTTAGAAACCACCACCCCCCCGCCCCCCTCAGCGTTTCCTCCCTTAAGATCTGGGCCTCAGTTGCATATTTCAGCTGCAGGCTCAGCAAAGCAGCAAAACCAAACAAGTAGCTTTGTAGCTGCCTAAGGACCAGGTACATTGCCTTCTCAGTGAGCCAAAGCAGTCCAGCCTCGGCTCTCCTGTTGCTTCTTGCATGCACTTTCTTTGTTTCACTGTCCTAAGTATATTTTTGCTGCAATCATGGACTCAATACCCTTTAGCCCAGTGCTATGTAGCCCTTCCCTTTGGATNAAGGCTGGAGGAGGTAAAAGGGGGTACAAATGGTCCCTCCAAGGTTTTAAGGGACTTTGCTGAGTGTTACAGAGGACAGAGACAGTGCCCTGAAGACCACGCTCTTTCCTGGTCCCACAGTTGGGAATCACTTTAGCAACTGACACAGGTTCAAGAAGGTAGGGAATCATCTGTAAAATGGGCACAACAGAGCAGAGCAAAGCACAGGAGGAGCAAGGGAGATGTGAGACCAAGGTGGGAGAGAGAACACGTGGTGTCTCACCAGATTCCATTGTAGGAAAAGAGGGTCCTGAGGTGTGCCTCGGGTAGAAGCTTCGGCATCCGGCCGGCCCGAGCAGGACGAGGGAGCTCTGGCTGGACGCTGAACTCGTCATGAAGGTACACACTTCTGAACGCAAATAAAAACATGCCAGATCCTAAGGCGAAGGTGGATATCCTGAGGTGCCACAGAAATCTAGAGCTGTTGGGGCACAAAAAAGCAAATGCCCTTAAAATAGTTTTTCTTGATTAGGTATTAAATGATTTGATTGTTATGTAATCAACACCAACGGGCATTCCTATTTTGGGTTGTGGTGAAGAAGGAAACTTGATTCAGTGCACGTAGCTCCGTGGTGACATGGCAGGGCTGCGAAAACGGCCCTGCGCGTTAGGTGGCCCCAGGGCCAGGCCCGTGCGCTCCGGCCTGCGCCGGTCTGGCCCGCTCCGTGCTCCGTGCTCCGTGCTCCGTGCTCCTGCAAGGCACCCTTGGTATTTCAGCCGCAGCTCCAGCCTGGGAAACAGTCTGCAGTGTTTGGTGGAAAGGGAAAACGTGCTCCCAGAGCCAGAGGGGAGCTGACTTATGTAGACAGAAGTCCCCACTTATTCCTCTTTTTGCTCTATATCTTTTTTTATCCCATAAGCTGATTTTTCTGCATTGATTAGGCTTTCATGACTGTTAAGTGATAGCAGTTCCTGACAATAATGGAAGAAGCGTGATTTTAAAAAATGAAATAAGTTGCATACTGGGAAACTAAAATGTATTAAATGAGAAACTATTAGAAACAGTAAGATTTTTTTTTTTAATTTATCTTTATTGTTGAAAGCATTACAGATGTCTCCCTTTTCACCCCATTGATTTCCTCCCCTCTGCAACCCTCCCCCAGGCCTTCACCACACTATTGTCTGTGTCCCTG